GTGAATGATGAAATTGCCTAAGTTGCATGTGAATGTGTGTTACCTATCTTTCCTTGTATTTGAGAGTGAGTGCATGTTTATTTACTACTTTTCTTATAATAGATAAGATAATGGGGAAAAAAAATTAAATTGATGGATGAGAGATATATGAAACAAATGAAATTCTTCTCTACTCAGTAAGATGAAAAAAGGTTTGATGTATTTAAAAATTTAAAAGGTTTATATTTTTCTTTTATATAACATGAATTAAAAGTGATCTAAAAGAAATATTTACATTAAAATAAAATCTCTTCTATTTCAATTTAAAAGTTATTTAAGTTTTAAAAACACATGAAATGAATTTTTGCTTCAATTTAAAATGCTCTAAAATTTAAAAGTCATTTCAAATTAATAAACTCATAAAAAATAAGTGTTTATATCAAACTTCTTTTAAATTTTAAATCAAACTATTAAGAAAGAAATTTTATATTTCAACTAAATAAGCTCTAATCTCTTAAAATTATAGAGAAGCTCAAGTAGAAGAACTTCAAACTTCTTAAGAACTTCTAAAGAAATTTCTATTAGAAACTCTTTTCAAAAAGAAAATTCTTTTTTTTCAAAATCTAAAAGAAAATATTTTCGAAGCTGTGACTTCCTTCGAGGAGTTCTCATAAGAAATTATTCTCTTAGGAAATCTTGTCTTTAAAACTTAAAAGGAATTTTATTTCAAAAATTCTTTCAAATAACTTATTCTATTTAAATTTCTTTTGAATAATATTAATGAATCTAAAAAAGAGCCCTTTCTTTATAAATGATCAATCAAAATCTTTTTGAATCTCTTAAAACATTTTTCAAAGAGAAATCTCTTCTCCATTTTCAAAAGAAAGTTTTTCTCAAAACCCTTAAGCTTTAGGAATTTAAAATATAGGCTTGTCAGGCTCTTTTCACTTGCTTAGCCTAGACAAGAATTATATATTCATATAAATTGAGTGAAGTTGACCCCCTAACCTGTACTTTAGTCAGTGAAGAGACAACTTCCTCTTTGATTTGTATTGCAAAGAAGATCAAATAGAAATAGAAAGAAAAATGTAAATAGCAGTTTATATAAATATTTTGATGATAAAATTATTACTTGTGCTATCATCGACTTGTGGAACGCCAAGATGGGGCCTCTAACCTCGAGGAATGCCTAATGATCTTCACCCGTCGCTCGTACCGGTGAGCACCATGCTCCATGAAAGGAATGAAACAATGTCTCACCCATGTTAACGAAGTGTAACTCACCCTTGTGAGGCTTCCAGGAGGAGCTATAGTAAATCTCGAACCAATACCAAACCTTAGTAGATGAAATCATAATTTGGAAGTTCTATAAAACTTGGCATCTGCGGTGGTCCGATACAAAATTTCTAACCAACTTTAGCTCACAAAGAGCTAGTAATATCAAATGCACCTTTTTATTCAAAATCAAAGTAATTGCATCCCAGTAAGGATGTGGCTTGAGTCCTCTATCCTTGTGATTTTGCCTCCAAATAACCCCACAAAGTAGCGGTTATGACTAGTCCTCTGACCGGGTGGTTCTTGCTAAATGACATCTTTATATTACGGTCACAACCGCAACTCATATGTTCCTCAATTGCTCTGTACCCTTTGGTTTGTGAATCATAAGGGTACAATTAATTGACATAAAAACTTATGTTAGTTATGGTCAACTTAAATTTGTCCCCTTAGACAAACTTCCACCCCATATCTATAAGGATCTCTTAGACGATGCAACCCGCGGCGGGTGACAAGAATCCTTAAGTCAGGCTGGGTCGACTACATTCTCTGACTAAGTAGATCAATGACCACGATAGTCCGGGATGAAGAAACCATGCAATATTGATCGGGTTTCTTCTTCTTACCCGCGCCATCCACTTTAAGCATCAAGTGGTGAATTTGAAAATTTAACGTTCTAAGTTTGTTGCTATTATATGTTGAATGCTTAATTATTAATGATTAGTCTTAATCAAAAGTGCTCTCCTGTTATGGGGAGGGATAATTAACCATAGGGGCTTACGCCTATGTGAAACCTCAAACCCCAGATCAAAATGACATCGCCAAATGAGGTTGAAATCTTTGGGTAGTGTCTTATCTTCAACCCAATCTGCTCTCTGAAAATTTGACCCTTCAAAGCTCTCAAAAAAATAGAAATAAAAAAAATTGTAGAGAGTTGTCTTAGAGAGCGGTCATAAATTTTTGAGGCCCATTGCGGTCCCAACATCTTATAAAATTTTCCTTCTAGTCTAAGTGGTACTTTTCTATCACACAATAGGCCTGATGCCTTTCTTCACCTCAACAAACCAAGTTGAATTCTACAAATAACATCCTCATCTATATCACCATCATTTTGAACAATATACCCTAGATATGTAAAACGTGCACACCTTTTAATGATTTGATCACCCATAGTTTCAACTCTGCCACTAAAGCTAGTACTACTAAAATTACATTCCATGTATTCAATTTTAGATCTACTAAAACGAAGGCCTTAGGCCTTTAGACTCTAAGGCCTTTAGACTCTAATGTAAACCTCCATAATTCAAGTTTTTTCTGAACTCCTTCTGATCTAATCTTGTCCACAAGAAAGATATCATTAATAAAAAACTTACACCAAGGTACATCTTCCTGTATATGTCTAGTAAGAGCATCCAAAACTAAAGGAAAAAAAAAAGAATTTTAATGATGGATATCATTATATGATAAATAGGAAAACAAAAAAAAAATGTTGTTAATGTTAGGGTTTGCCTTATAAGATGAAGGAGGAATCAAAGAAGAACCTTGGACTTATCAAGTAGGATGAAGATAGGACTGGGGCTTAAAATAGAAACTAATGTTTACAACTTATAAACTAATCACATGATTGATTACACATGTACTTTAATTTTTAATCCTTATATAAATTACTTCAAAATATCAGAATATAAAACCTCGATTAAGAAAATGGAATTAAACGGATTCAAAATTATAAGTAGCATTCTATACCTCTTACATGCCAATATAACTTGTGTACACATAACTTGCACGATGATCATAGATTTAACTAATTTCTTAACACTTAAAATTGTTTCATATTAGAATAATCTATGCCTAATTCTTACCCATGTGAATTATTCACCTAAATAAAAAGGAAATGTAGAGACACTCGCATGAAACTAGAACCTGCCCAGCTCAAACATGTCTCTAGTCATAGATCACTTGTTCGAGTTTGAAGTATTTTCCCAAATTTTGTTCAACTCTCCCCCTTTTTGTACAGAACTCTTCTAAGGTATAGTAGTATGTTTAGAGCTTAGTCAGTTTGACAATTGTACTTGCCTGGTAATTCTTAATCAACGCAGAAGAAGGGTTCATTTAGGAGACAACAGCTGTTTGAAGAAGCATCTGTGAAATTGTTGAAGAAGAAGTTATGGCGACTGTTACAATTTTTTTTTTTAAAAAAATAGATCGCTGTTTTCTTGCCGCTACCGCAGGTAGCCAGTTTTGGTGGGAAAACACAACTTTCAGCTGCATTTTTTTGAGAATGCAAACAAAATATAGATTTGTCAAACTAAAAAAACTCTCACGCGACGCCACATTACCATGGCAATGCTGCCCCAAATGCACCTGAAATATATTCAACTTGCCTTTTTTTTTTGGCTTTACACTTGTGCCAGTCTTGATCCATATCAAAGACAGAAGAACATTTTTTTCTTATTTATTTATTTTCTATTAATGTAGAAAATAAAATCCCTATAATTATAGTGAACCTCCCAAGGTAAATTTGGTAAGGCCACTTTATTCCGAAAGCTATCAAATCAGAGGCTTCATCGAGAAAATTAGTGACCACTTTCAACAAAACAACGACTTCACCCAATAAAATGGTGACCACTTCCAATTAAGTCAACAACTTTTTCCATAATTAGCTACTTCACCACATTAACGACTTCATCAAGTAAGTTTATGACTTCAGATCAAGATTTTAGCAACATTGATAGATCAATATCAACTAAAATCTATAATGTTATGTATTATGGTACATGCTTCTACAACAAAAAAAACATTAGGTACAAAATTCACTTTTCAATGATTTAATGAAATTCAACCATTTCCCTCTCTAGATTCTTCCTTTTTATTCTCTTTTTCACATCTTATCATACGTTATCTCTCTAGATTCTTTTTCTTCATATTCTCGAGAGCCATGCAAGTTGAGTACTGATATTTGTCAAGAACATATTTAGATTCATCAAGTTCGGTATGCCAAATCCGATTCCCTAAACACATTTATGTGCCAAATGTTGGGGGGAAAAATGCATCTAATGAATTAAGATAACATATCCGATCTAGATTTTTTTCTCCTCTGCCAAGTTCGTGCCACCAATTGATGCTAAATTATGCCTTCAACTATGGGCATATTTTTTCTTATGGACTGTTTCCCTCTCCTGACTATGTTCGTTTAATAAAAAAATCTACAAGTTTGTCACATGCTAACATGGTCTAAAGCAGGAAACTTTTAAAAAAAAAAGAATGGTAAGAAAAAAAAAGGAAAAAATATAACATTAAAGAAGGTCATAAAAATATCCCTCCTTTATTCTCTTGTCCACTTAATCTGATGGTGCCAATTAATCCTACGTCGGATTTTGATGTCGATAAATGTGGTGGGTTGTTAGATATCAAATTCATTAGTATAATTTAAATGCAAAAAAAAACGAAGCTAAAAATAGCATGTAAAAAAAAAGTTAAATTTGCATTTCAATTGCGATGACTAGTTTTTTTTATTGGCCCACACACATTAGCCATGCTTATATAATTTCTCCCCACCTCTTTCTTTGAGGGCAGGAGGGAGAGAGTTGAGTTCTATAGCTTTTGAGCTTGGCTCCAGCGCATAAGTGCTGAGAAAGTTACATAAGGAATTTAGTAGCGTCTAACTCCTCCTCCTCCTCCTCCGTCTTCGCTCCGCTCCCGTTTGTTGTACATCCTTTTTTGCTTTCTTTTGTTCAAAACTCCTCGTCTTCGCTCCGCTCCCGTCTGTTGTACATCCTTTTTTGCTTTCTTTTGTTCAAAATGTCTCACGGTCCGTGGGCTCTGACGGCGGGCATTTTAGGTGAAGTGTAAACCACAAGTAGTACTTGGATTAATGTTTGTTGAATTTTCTCTTGTGAAACCTAGCTTGGTTGTATGGTGATCGATGAAGACCGTATAGAAAATAGTATAATTTGATTCAGAGGCGGGCCTAGATAGGGTACTGGGGGCCTCAAATTCAAATTTTTATGGGAGGACAATTTGGATTTTTGCTTCTCATGGAATATCACTTTGTTTTTTTATTGTCCTAGCCACCCCTCGAAAAATAGGCTTAGTCGCGCCCCTGAATTTTGATTAACCAGAACTTCATATGCAATTTGCTTGACAGATAATTATAATCGCTCAAAATTTTACCGTTCATAAGGGATCAATATATATTTTTTTGGTTTTGTCGAATATGAAAAAAGTATTTATCTCATAAATTTTGAGAGTATCTATTTAACTACCATTATTATTTAATAGGAATTATTTAGAAAAGCTAGTTAATATAAACCCCTGCAAAAATTTCATTGAATGTATGTCATCATTGGACATAAAATGCAAATAAATTTAATATTATGTCCCCTGTTTTCTTATTTCCTAAAAAGCCGACATGGCCTTACTCCCTAACATATTTCCAATGAAATATGTTATATGAAAACAACTTCCCTTCTCTTTTCAGTCAATTATATTACCCTAAATTTTGACACTAGCTAACATATCTCTATTGGTTGTTCATTTCAGGAAATGTTATCTCATTTATGGTGTTCCTTGCTCCAATGTAAAGCCAACCTCGATCCCTCCTATTTCTTGTCTTGCTTCTTAACCTTATTGTAATAGTCCATTTATGTGTACGTGTATTTAAATGCAGTTCAACATTTTATCGCATCTACAAGAAAAGATCAACGGAAGGATTTCAGGCAGTACCTTATGTGGTGGCTTTATTCAGCGCCATGCTCTGGCTTTACTATGCAGTTATTAAAACTAATGTCATGCTTCTTATCATCATCAACTCCATTGGCTGCATCATCGAAACAATCTATTTGGCTATTTTCCTCGCATATGCACATAAGAAAGCTCGGGTATATCTCTTTTCATATAAGGATTATGCAATAATTCGGAAAATAAGTCTTTGTTAACAAACTAATTGGACTTGCAGGTATATGCTGCAAAACTAATCTTATTATTGGACGGGGGAGTTTTCTCTTTAATAGTGCTCTCAACTGTAGTATTTTCGGAAGGCGACACGCGTGTGAAAATTGTCGGATGGATTTGTGTAGCATTTGCAGTAGGCGTCTTTGCTGCTCCGCTAAGCATCATGGTGAGATTAGGAAAAGAAAACAATAGATTATCATTTTCAGACATCAAAATTTTAATAACAACATATCTTAAGCAGGGCAATGGCTTAATATTCAATTCTTTTGATTTTGCAGAAACTAGTAATAGCAACAAAAAGCGTGGAATTCATGCCATTTAACCTGTCATTCTTTCTCACTCTTTGCGCTGTAGCATGGTTCTCCTATGGATTGCTTATAAAGGATCTATATGTAATGGTGAGTTTTTTTGGCCTTTATTGCGAAGTAAAATTAACAGGAATGGCGCTCTGTTAATTTTAAAACAATGATAGAGCCTTTATGTACTAGTAATTTGGCATTGATACTTGTATAATGGTTGTGCAGCTGCCAAATGTGTTGGGTTTCATGTTTGGAGTAGCGCAAATGATTCTCTACCAAGCCTACAAGAAGCAAAGTGAGGGAAAGAAGAAAGATAAAGTGGCAGGGATGAAGAACAAAACAATCAAAGAAGAAGCAATTGAAAAAGAGAAGGAGATATGTTACGAAGAGTGGACAAACAAGGTGAAACAAAACAAGGAAAATGACATGGTGCCGGTCTAAACTTGTATCAGTACATTCAGGGCTGCTTTCTTCCTATATAGCTTTCACCTAAAGCTTTTTTGTCTCTCTCTCCCTTTGTTTTAAGTGTTTATGACAATGAATGTTTATCCTTCTTTTTCTTTTTCTTTTTTTGTTTTTTTTTCTTTGGGGTTAAGGATGCCTTGCGGTCCTATATCAATAAGAATAAATATGAATATACACTCTTCTAAAAAACTCTAAATGATGTATGATTTTGTGTCAAGTGGATTGCTCCAAGTTTATAAGAAAATTGTGATGTATTATTTTTTTATAGAAGTATCTATCATAAATAATCATATATTATAGTTTTGACCGTGAATTAAGGCGTCAAAGCTAATTGGCCATTCCTTACATTTTGCATAATTGACATTCTAATTTTAGTAAAGAAATGGCTTAATTGATATATACATTTTTTATTGTTCTATTAGTTTGTTGGATATACTTCATAAATCAATCTAGTTTGTGAAATCTTTTCAAACGGAGATGATTAAGCATGGCCACACACACACACACACACACACACACACATGGAGTTGGGAAGAGAGAGTACACTGACTTCATGAAGGCTAAAATAAATCACTTCCTTTATTATGTTTAATTAGAAATTTTAAATATTGTGAAGGAAGCATCAAAGAATTTAACATTTATGATGCTTATATCTATATAGTCAATTAACATTTTCTTGTTAGAGACTCTCGTATAGCAAGCTCGCTATCAAACTAGAGTCCTTGAGACAAGCAAGAGACCTGGCTAAACATTTTTTAATGTATAATATGGGTGTCAATTTCTCATCTTCATCAAATGAATGTATTAGCCATAGAGGAACAAATGACCGCTATTAATTAGTTGTCAACCCTAACAATAAGTCTTAATAATAGTAATGTGCTAGGTACTACCCTGCTAAAATTGTAGTTTTATTAGTAACTTACATCATGTCAGATCATTATTATCTTTTTTTAATTTTTTCCAAGTCCTAACAAAAAGAGTTTGATTATTAATTCATATTGATTATTCTTTTTTACTATTTCAACATCTTCAACATCTATGCCATTTTTAGTGCTTTCTACACTGCTAAAATCCTATTTTGATCAAGCCAAATTTGGACATTATTTAGCTTCATATATCAATTCAAGCCTATTAATTATAGCTATATTAGTTTAGTTGGCACTAGAACCCATTCACAACACATATTTGACTTATTCATTTAATGATTATTTAATAATCGAGTTCAGTTTAAATTAACGCAGAATCAGTTTTGAGTAAAAAACCATTATTCAAAATTCAACATGCAACACAAAAATATACATAACAAGTTATAAAAATTCAACAAACCTAGTCTTCTCACACTATACTGACCTAGTAAGGACGAGTGGAATGCTTTTTTTTTGCCTAATTTTACTGGACCAGAAAAGGAAAAATAATTTACTTTATGGATTAGTTTGACAAATACTATAATGCACAAAGTGATGGTGGTAAAAATCTTTATCATAGGATTAATGGATAAAGTTTATTTATGTTATTAGTTTAGTGCATGAAAAAGTAAAAATAATTTTATGAGAAAATGACAAGGCATTCAAAAAGGTGTAATGCTTAGAGCCAAGAATAGCTTAGTTTGCAATAGATTAGGCCATGGTGAATGGATTCAGAGATGGGTAAATATGGGGAATATAGTTTGATTGATTATATTATGATATGAAATTATGAATTTCTTTTTATTGAATTTCTTAAGATTTAAGCTATATAGAAGAGTGAAGAACATGAATATGTGTAAGGATGCCTAATTTAAACAAACTACTTCAAAGTGGGGTTTAATTGATTTTAATAGAATTGGTTCTCCTCTATTCACTGAGTATATTAGTATTTTTCTTTTATTTTTGTGATTTTTGTACCCATAGATGATTTTTTCAAGTTATATTTAATTTTCTATTTTAAATTAAATAAAAAATACCCTATTTATCCACTTAAACACGTGACATTCGACTCATCATAGACGACTTAAAGGACCACGCGATGTGCTTCCATTGGAGTCCCTTTCCACCTCACCTGCCCCGTCACCTTGCAGTTTGTGGTCTTGTATTAATCCAATCTGCTGTCCGTAGCAATTTAAGCCATCCTTTTCGAATACATGAGGATGGGCAGCATCTGCTCATCATCCTAAATGAACCATAAGTTGTGATCTATCCACACTCTAGAGTTAAGATCTCTCTTGATACTCAACCAAATTCAATGAGATTTATTCCTAGAGCTTCATCTCAACGAGACAAACACATCTATACGACTACGTGAGCATGGATGTTGAGTTTCTTTAAAAAAGCCCAAAACGAAGCAAAATTAGGGATTTTTTAGCTATGCCTTTGTCCAAGAGGTGAGGTCTCCGTTGGAATGGTTGAGAAGCTTGGCCTTAACACCACGAACCTTCTCCAAGTGTTAACTTATTCTGTAGATGGGAATATGTATAACCTAGTCCAAATGGTGGATCAGATTTGGTCAAATACTAGGTTAAAGGCCACAGGAGGGGGATTTTGACTGAGGAAGTGATTTTGAGATGTGGGGAACCTTTTGGAACAATAAATTTTGAGTTTTGGTGGAGTTTGTGAAATGAACAAAAATGTCCTAATTTTTTGCTCCAAAATTAGGGTTTTGTGGTGGGGTGAAGATTAGGCTAATTTGATATAGCTCCATGGTGAATGGATTCAGAGATGGGTAAATATGCGGAATATAGTTTGATTGATTATATTATGATCTGAAATTATGAATTTCATTTTTATTGAATTTCTTAAGATTTAAGCTATATAGAAGAGTGAAGAACATGAATATGTGTAAGGATGCCTAATTTAAACAAACTACTTCAAAGTGGGGTTTAATTGATTTTGATAGAATTGGTTCTCCTCTATTCACTGAGTATATTAGTATTTTTCTTTTATTTTTGTGATTTTTGTACCCATAGATGATTTTTTCAAGTTATATTTAATTTTATATTTTAAATTAAATAAAAAATACCCTATTCATCCACATAAACACATGGCATTTGACTCAATAGATGACTTAAAAGACCACGCGACGCGCTTCCGTTGGCGTCCCTTTCCACCTCACCTGCCCCATCACTCTGCAGTTTGTGGTCATGTATCGATCCAATCCGCTGTCCGTAGCGATCCAATCCATCCTTTTCGAATACATGAGAATGGGTAGCATCCGCTCATCATCCCAATTGAACCATATGTTGTGATCTATCGACACTTTAGAGTTAAGATCTCTCTTGATACTCAACCAAATTCAATGAGATTTATTCCTAGAGCTTCATTTCAACGAGACGAACACATCTATACGACTACGTAAGCATGGATGTTGAGTTTCTTTAGAAAAGGCCAAAATGAAGCAAAATTAGAAATTTTTGAGCTATGACTTTGTCCAGGAGGTGAGGTCTCCTTTAGAATGGTTGAGAAGCTTGACCTTAACACCACGAACCTCCTCCAAGTGTTAATTTATTCTGTAGATGGGAATATGTATGACCTAGTCCAAATGGTGGATCATGTTTGGTCTAATACTAGGTTAGAGGCCACATGAGGGGGATTTTGACTGGGGAAGTGATTTTGAGATGTGGGGAAGCTTTTGGAACAATCAAATTGGAGTTATGGTGGAGTTTGTGAAATGAACAAAAATGTCCTAGTTTTTTGCTCCAAAATTAGGGTTTTGTGGTGGGGTGAGAGTGGCTGAGAATGGTGGGGATGATTTTTGTATAGGTTTAAGAAGGGTTTAGAGAAATTTTGCCAGAGCTTCGCCAAAGTTTTTGCACTTGTCCATTTTGTTCGTGGAGGTGGCCATTTTATAAGCTCGGCCAAGAGGGAATGGCAGGGTTCCAATTGGTTGGTCAAAGGATTCTTAGGTGGAGAGGAGACAAGGGAAAAAGTCCAATGGGTGTGAGCCAATTAGGATGGGTATGATTTTAGGTTTTGGCTCAAGAGGTGGTTCTGAGCTTCACCTCCACCACCAGCCATGGTGGGGTGGTCGAGCTCGGGTGGTCACCATCTTGCTGAGGGAGCATAGTGTGGAGAATGTTGAAGTCAACTAGCTTGTGCCAAGTGTCCAAGGGTTGGATTTAAGGGGAAAAGGTTTAAATTGATTTTGGGGAAGTTTGGGTTGAAGTCATGAATTTGGGATAGGTTGATTCACCAAGGTGGCTAGAGCTGGTGATCAACTTGGGGGTGTGAATAGACAAGTGCACATCATGTGGATTTAGATCATTTTTAGTTTTAAGTGATTCATGAGAGAGGTTAAGCACTTTTTAAGGGATTTTGAAAGAGGCTCCTCCTTTTCCCATTTATGATATGGTGGCACATGAGGCTCATGCATGGCTTCATGGCTTCCATGTGGCTTGGATGAAGCCACATGGCTTGCACTAAAGAAGATGGGTGGGATTTTCAAGCATGGAGGCAAGTTTTATAAATTCCAAATGGGGTTGATTAATCATGAAATTTTTTGACTTTATATTTGATAAGTTTGATCATAGGTTGTTGAAATATGCCATGTGGGCTTAGGTTTAAGGACATTTGGAAATTTGGCTCAAATTATGGGCTTTTGAATATTTTGTTATGCGGGGGTTTTGGGCTTGGATTTAATACCAATGTGATTGGTAATTAATCATGGGAAATTTCATGAGGCTTTGGATGGTGGAATTTGGGGTTCATACTTGATGAATTTTTGGTTTAGCACTTTGGGTTCAATTTCAGCATCTTTGGGAAATTTTGGTAATTTTGGGGGATTATGGGGATTATGGAGATTATGGGTAAGTTTAGGTAGTTTGGATGGGTTTTAGGTGACTTTGGTGGATAATTGGGTGTTTGGATAATTTTAGGTATTTTGGGCATTTGATAGTTGGGGTGGCAAATTGGGCAATTTTGGTGAATTTGCTGAATTGAGTGGATTTAAGTGGTGGGAGTGTATTTTAGTGGAGTAAGAATGTGGTGGTGTGTATGAATGTGTATGTAAGGTGAAGATGATGATGCGTGGGAGGAAGGTATGAGGTGATGTGAATTGAAATAGTGTATAGATTCTGAA